GTGGACGCCGCCGCCCCCCTCGGTGCGGTCAGAGTGGGTGCAGGCCCGGGAACGGTTGCCCTCCACTGAGCCGCCGCTGGTCAGCGAGGCAGTCCTGGAGCGAGCCAGGCGGGTCATGCTGGCAGAGGGCACTGAGGGGGGAGGAAGTGGAGAAGAGAGGAAGTTAAAGATAAAGAGTTGATGGAGTTTAAAGGATGAATGAAGGAGGAGTCGAGAAGGAGCCGAGGTCAGGTGATGTCAGGGAGGTGGGAGGAGTTCATGCTCATGTAAAGAAGGAAAGAAAGGTTCTGATCTGCTGCGGAGATGCTGCCCCCTGTGGCTGGGCTGATGAAGGACGACCCAACATGACTGAAGGGACACGTAGACGGATTCAGACCAAGTGTCATCGGACATGGACGAGACCCTCACAGTCCCTCACCCTCAGGCCAACCAATCACCTTTCACCATGAAGATGCTAATGCTAATGTGGTGACCTCCCTGTGCTCACAGGCTGGGTTCGTTCATAGCTTCACTGAAGGCCATGCAGAGAGCAGTCGAGGAGATGCGATGGGAGAGTAATGAGGGGGAGGAGGGGGAGTAAAGGCAGCTGTGGTATTTTTCCTTTGGAGGAAAAATTATTCCGGACAAACTCAACACAGAAAACTCGGATGAACAAATGTAAGATTCTCACGACAAGCCCCGAAAAGTCGAGTTTAACAAGCAGAAAACCAACATCCACCAAAACAAAGGGAACAAAATCATCAAACAGGGCAGGGGTCAGAGGTCAGAGGTCAAAGTACCTGGACCGCCACTCAACCTCCGGTCCTTCACATTAGCAACTGAGGACAGGGTGAGGAGACAGAGGGAGAGTTATCACCACAACAGTACTGCAGTAATACTGTAGTACACACAGACAGGGTGAGGAGACAGAGGGAGAGTTACCATCACAACAGTACTGCAGTAATACTGTACTACACACTCAGGTTACTTACTGTAGCCCATTCCCTGCAGGAAATACTTGAAGGCTTCTGTCAGTTTTCCAGGCTGAGAAAAAAAGATCAACAAAATTAATTTTACAATTTTCAAAGTAAATAATTACAAGTAAAAATATCTTAGATACTGCGACGTTCGACTGAAAACTTTATTCAATCTGAGACACCGACTGAGAACTTTATTCAATCTGAGACACAAATCTGAGATTTTGAGAAAATCAGGTGTAGAAATCTTTACAAAACTTGTTCATTGATTTGTTTTCATGTCAGACAACAATAACAGTGGTTGACAGTTGAAGTTTAGGTTAACATGAACTCAAACTTTGACCTGAGTCTGAGCTCAGTTTCATTTTGAAGTGTTACCTGTGTCAGCTGAGGAAGTCCACCAGAGTCAGCCATCTGCCACCAGAGAACAGAGTTGCACCATCAACACACTCTGTACTTAATATTTCAACATTATCGTAACAACAACAACAACAAATCATCTGCCACCTGCTGGTGGGAGTAGGAACAGCACTTACCTTCAAGAAGGTGGTGTTGGTGGGGTCCAGTTTGGAGTTACACTCCACCTTCAAGACAAACACAGAAAATCAGCACATGTTGGGCTCCCTGTCAGGCTGAGGCCAGTGATTTAAAAGGCAGTGAAATCAGTCAGAGCTTCAGACTCACCACTCCTTCCTCTGCAGGAGCGTTGTCTCCGACAACCAGCAGCACAGGACACCTGCAGGAAAAACACTGGGTCATAACCAGCGAGCGTTGTCTCCGACAACCAGCAGCACGGGACACCTGCAGGAAAAACATCCTCCAGGTCAAAGGTCACTAAAATAACACATTAGAACTTGTTGATGGAGCAGCGGCTCCTGGGTCTCTGAGCTAAAATCACTGATTTGCTCTATGGACTTTGCGTTGGACACTGAGTCATTAAGTTTCCTGTAGGTATAAAGTCTGATCATAAAATAAAAACGTGAACAGTGACGGTTTTAAAGATGAGGTGTGCGGGCCAGATGGTGTTCACACTTACTTCAGAGTTTTGGCGTTTAGTGCTCCTTGACGGTTCATGTCCAGGTCCCGACGACTGACAAACAGAGACGTAAGGAAGGTTAATGATGAGGTCACTCTGTGTGTGTGTGTGTGTGTGTGTGTGGTTTCATGTACCTGTTGTACATGTTCCAGAACAGCTGCAGGTTGAACAGGTTGATGGTGTTGTTGATCTGTTGTCGGTAACTCTGCACCAGCTCTGTGGTCACTCTGTGTGTGTCCTGCGCACACGCACACACACACGCACACGCACACACACACAGGCAGAGTATATTTTACGGTAACATACGTATATATATATTTTATACACAGCCGAAGGTGAGGGCGTACCTGACTGAAGAGGTGAGGCAGCACGGTGTCGGGCAGCGTGCTGGTCAGTCCTGACAGCTGCAGGTGAAAAACATCTTCATTTCAGTGACAGGTTCCATCAGCAGAGAAGAAACCACAGAAGCAGAAACAACACACACACACACACACACACACACCTTAGCTGCAGCCCAGTCGATCCAGCCTTTACCGTTGGGGTCGATGTTGAGCAGAACCAGACCTTCCACCAGTTCAGGGGAGATCAGCTGAAAACAGGAGGATCAAAGTAAACCTCGTTTCTTTCATAAAAGTGTTTCTATTTTTTAGTTTTCATCCAGAACATAAAGATCAGAGTCCGACTCACAGCAAACTTGGCCAGAACATAGGCTCCAGCTCCGACTCCAATCCCAACGATGCTCTTAAATCTGAGGAGATCAGAGGAGATCCACGATCACATGGAGGGAAGATGTGAAGGGACAAAAATGTTTTTAAAAATAAATAAATATATGGACTTTGGTCTGAGCTAAAATCACTGGTTTTCTCTCTGGAAAAATGCTTTGTATAATGTGTAAAAAACAGGTGTGAAAAAGTGATAATGGTGTGAATACAGCGTGAAACTGACCCAAAGTGCTGAACCACAGTGGACAACATGGCCGCCAACTGGTCCATGGTCGGAAACTGGTACCTGAGGGGAAACAGGGGTCACATGACTTTATCCTCCGTGTGTCTGCGTATGCAGATGTGCACGTGTGTGTGCGTGCATGTGCCCTCGTACCCTTGCGGCAGTTGGCTGGCTCCGCCCTGTTGTCCAGGGGCGTCCACGTGGCAGACCACGAAGTGTTTGGTGATTTCCTGCATGTCCTCGTTGTTGAAGAAGGGATTGAAGCAGAGTTTGTCTGAAGAAGAACAGGAACAGGAAGTGAGGGCATGGAGGAGCAGACCACACTTCAACACGTTAGCTACTGATGTCACAGCTAGCACCTGTTAGCTAGCTGCAGGCCACGCCCACTGTATAAATGACAGCTAGTGTGAATGTTCTGTTTTAACACCTAATAAACTCTGGTGACCTCAGTGACTAGACTGGTAACTCTCTGCTGCCACCTAGGGGTAGCTAAGAATCATGTGGTTTGTTTTTTTACTTTTGTGCCGTTGTATTTTCTTAGCTAAGAATCATGTGGTTTGTTTTTTTTCTTTTGTGCCGTTGTATTTTCTTCCTTTCTCACCCTTCCTCCATCATGAATTGGCCTTAATGAGTGAAACCACACCTTAACTCATTAACTTAACTAATTGAATTAATTCAACTGATATTAAACGACATTTTACTTCACATTCATTCAAATCTAAAGTTTCCCGTTGAAGTGTTGATTCTCCTCCTCCACCAATCAGAGCACTGCTGCAGTGCTGCATGCTCCGCCCCCCCTCTGCAGGACAACAGTGTTGTTCTGACCTACATTAAACATACACACACACACACACCATCACACACTGTTGTCCTGATTTCTATTTCTGTCTCTACATCATTTATTTTCCCATATTCACTCCTCCTCGACCATCACCTCCTCCTCGACCATCACACACACACACACACACACACACACACACACACACTCACGGTTCAGTCCCACATCATGGTAGGTCAGGATCGCTGGTTTGTTTCCTTTCGGCGCTCCTCGGATCATCACATGGAGCATCCCATGAGGAGTCTCCACATCATGGTCCTGTAGACACACACACACACACACACCGTTATCACCCAGAGCTTCGTACACACACACAATGACCCAGTGACCTTCAGTCATCCAGGAACAGGAAACACATCACAGAAAAATCAGATGAATGTCAGTGATGACTTTTATCTCAAACATCTGTGTTTTACACACACACACACACACACACACACACAGTGTGTCAGTGGGACAATCACTTTAGTTCATTAATTAGCAGCGGTGTTAATGAGGTGTTTGGTCCATGAATGTTTCTTTTGATGAATATTAAAAATATTTTTTTTAAATAAAAACAACAACAAAAAAAATCAATATTTTTTTCCTCTGATGAATCAAAATCTGATCAATTAATGTTTCTACACCATCAAAGTTGACTGAATAAAAACAGGTGACTGTCAGTCTGAACCGAACCAGTCCTGGACTAACCAGTCCTGGACTAACAGTCCTGGAC